TGTAGTGTTTGAACATTGAAGACATTATAATTAAGGTAAAAAAAAATCATTACTTGTCTCTCAATTATGATGTCATATTCGATCATATTATATTATATTTTTAATTAATCATAAAAGAGTACATTTATTTTTCGTTTTTACAAAACTGCCCTATGCCCAATGTGAGATTGGACGTGGCCCCACCATCTGTAGTTATCAACCGCAACGACAATGGCAAAAAATTTATTGTAAGAATTGATAAATGATACTTGAGATATTGACATACGTTTATTTTTGCTTCAATGCATGCATTTAAGCTGACAAAATGGAATCTCTTTCATGGCCGCACAATTGGCTAGAACTAGATACTAATAAAGATACTTGTTTCAACAAGGTGTTAGTACTTTCAAGCTTGCTTCTTCTTCCTTTTTTTTTTTTTTTTTTTTTTTTTTTTTTTTGAACTTAACAATCAATTAGATATATGGTCTATTAGTTGTATAAATTGTATAAAATTTAATTGAATTTCTTTATGGCAGACCATGGTACAGCGGCCTTTGAAGATGAGGAACATTGGGGGTTTCTTCAAGTCGCAGTGGAACATGGTGAGCGACTTTTTCCTCTTGGATATGTTTTTCTGAAGTTTGTGGAGGACAACTCCTTTAGTGGGGAGGTTGGTCTCCCAGTACGGTTAATGCTAATTTGGGGTTTTAGTCATGTCTTACGCTTTAAATCGGCCTCCGCATTGTGAATGGGGTACCTTTCAGCTGATGTCTTGTGTCCCTTTTTTAATTCTATTGGCTTTGAACTCGTGCGTTGCAAGGATTCTAAAGCAGTGTCGTATTGTAGGGCATTTGGTAGATTATGTCACCATGCATGATTGTTACACATTAGCCTGTTTTCCTTAGACAAGTCTCTGTTTGTTTTTTTTATTATGGTTTTATTATCTCCCAACTCCAATTCTGTTCCTGGACATAATTTGAGCTACACTTATTGGCATTGATTTTTCGCTTACGTATCCTTATTTTACCTTGTTGATGAGTGTGCGAATGGGGTCTGAGGAGGTGTTGTTGGTGTAATTTGAAGCTTTTATTTTTTTTTTAATATGAAAAATTGTGTTTTTGATGCAACCTCCTGATCATTGTATCCACCATTGTAGTGTTCACTATCAGTCTTCTGAGTTGTTGTGGTATGTAGGTGTGAGGGTGTATATTCAAAAATATCAAGTGATGAAAAGGGTGATGACATAATCTGAACGTCACAAGGTAGGATGTTGAAAGCAGTGGTCCTGGCTGCACCTCCATCTCTTCGGGCCAACAGTGGTACCAGCGAAGAGGATTCCCACCAGGGACACTAGTTTTTGTAACGGTATGCTCAGAATATTTTAATCCTGAACGTGCACTTTTGACAGGGGATCATCCTAGGAGATGCTATTCCTTTCTATGAATCATCCTCCACGAAAATCGTTCCTATTGGACAAAATCATCAAGCTGATATTCCAGCATGGGGCTCACAGTATGCTGAGGTGAAGATGAAAACAGTACGGATGGGAACTTGTATATTCCGATGACTGATTCACACACTCCTGATTTTTAGGCCGAGCTGGAATTGGTAGAAGTGACTGTCATTGTGAGGATTTGGGCTCTATCAGATGTGCAAGCAGCACATCATAGAAGCAAGGCAGGAACTAGAAATATACCTTGGGAAAGAAAAATTGGTAGAGCTTGGGGTCCATGACATGGGTGAGGTAGTGGCTAATAACTGGAGCAATGGGGAGGAACAAATGTTTCACAAGATTGTCTATTCTAATCCAGCTTCATTGGGTGGAATTTCTGGAGCATTCTTTCTGCTGTTTCCCTTCCAGAAGAAAAAGTGAAATTGTCAGTTACTACTTAATTTATGCTTCAAAAGCGGGCTGAGCAGAACAAAGATGTTCGTTGAATATCAGTAGTGATAATGATGAGTGGCAGGGTAGTGATGATTATGGTGGCAATGAAACTGGGATGTCAGCTGATGATGATGATGATGACTCTGTTATTGAGTCACCTGCATACATCTGATATGCGTTATCAGAGCCATGAAGGAATTGCGTATTTATGAAGAGGATGCTGAAGTTACTATTACACGTAAAGATGATGAGAATACAGATTCTGTTTGTGATGGCATTACCAATAATTCAGAAGCATATCTGGAAAGTTATCAAATGCTTGTGATTCCACACTCATCTAAGTTCCAAATAATTCCAGGGGATGAAAGGGAGATCGAGAAGTCCAAGATGACTCATGCACATCTTCTGATACTGCAGCAGCCGCACAGGGGACCCGGGTTAAGTTCGGACAAGGATGGCTACTGGCCTGGTAGCTTTAATGAGATGAGCAACGGTGGTGGCCATGAATATGTCTTGGAGTCTTGTGATGCTAAAGTTTGGGTGGTGGTTATACAAGTTGCCATCAAAATAAAGTTGATTATTACCCAACTTGCAGTATGATTGAGGAGGTTTTTGGAGATGGGTCATGGAATTTCAAGGTGAGAGATGGGAAAGCTTGAGTGATTTTCTTGCATTGAGATGTGGAATGTTAGGTACTCAGTGGTGAATAATTAGGAAGAATTTTCTTGTAGAAGAGTATAGGAGGAGTCCAATTTTCTATGAATGAGAAGAAAGAGTTCAATTTCCTTTGTACAAAATATGAATGATGGAAGCCCTGCCCTTCACTGTAAAATAGTTATTAAGAAGGTGATGGTTTTCATGTTTTTTGAGCTCTGTTCCGAATAATTGTTATTTGACAATACAAATTACATTGGGACTAACCTTTCACAAGCCCAGATGGAGTTTCTTTAAAGGGAGGGGGAAAGATTGTTATAAGACATACTGATGACAACATGTGTTCTATAATGTATTTTTAAAATTATTTAATTGCAATAAAATTTCGAAATGAAATAGATTCAAGTTTCATTTTTTACAATGTTTGAAACTTGACCTGGGGTGCCACCCGGCCAAAGGGGTTGGGTCTTGGGTTGACCGGTCCAACTGTTTAAACCGGTGGTCTTTGTGATCCAAAAAGTTTGAATTTTGTAAAAAACACTCCTGAAAATATATCAGTCCCTGCAGGTTTTGAAATATTGCAAACACACCTTACAACAGTTAAGGTTTTGATTTTTTTGGCCACATTTTGGCTGATTCCGATGCCAAAATTCAATCCAACACCACATTGATTCCACCGCCCTACTCTACAAAACCTTCTTCTTCAACACTTGGTAGTCCTCGTTTGCCAGTCGTGACTCACAGTATTGGGTTGATTTTTTTGATCAAATTTCGGTTGATTCAATGTCCAAAATTCAATCTGACACCACTCTTGACACACTGGCCTTGACTCTACAAAATCCTCTAACTTGGCACTTGATAGCCCTCGTTCGACAGTGATCAAATTAGGGATTTGGTGAACAGTTGAAATAGTAAACCGAACCGAAGAGGGCACAAGCACGGTTTGACGGCTGTCTGTATCCGGTTATTAGAACATTGTTTGATACATTTATTTTTCATATTCCATTATGTGATTTCGAAATCAAAAATTTACATAATGATTCTCCATCAAGAGTTAACCAAACTTTTTTGTTCACTCATCATTTTGGATGAAGAAGGCCTAAAGTAGTTGAATCGAGAATTACGAGCATTGCGAGAGAGGTGGAGAGAAACCATTATTAGTCTGGAATTTCTACATTAATCCAAGTTGTTTCTCCTATCAACACAGTCTCTGAAACACTTAAGAATCAATGCTAGATGTTAGGAAGCTATTTGAAGTTGCAAAAAGCAAGGTTTTGAGATCCTTACCTGCAATGCAACGAAGGAGTGTACCATCGGCATAATAATAATGTTAATCATAATCAATTGTGCGGATGCCTTATGGCCATGTTTATCAAATATGTTTGTCGAGTGGTTGGAGATAAGTCATGGTTGGCGGGTTTTCTTACCATTATGATCATGGATGTTGTGATGCCTAAAAAGGACTGAGATATGCTGATATCATCAAGCAATAATCAGAATCCAAGAAAATATTCTACCATCCAGAACATAATACGTCTCCAAAGGCAAAAAGAATATAACGTTACAAACCCAAACCGACTCAAGAATTGTGCCGGGTGAATTTGGTTCTCACACTTGTTCAAAACTCATTAATTTAAGGATATGCTTTGAGTTCTAACGAATGTGAAGGCATGAGAGATCTACACGATACCAGGCTACTTGCAAAATGTAATCATACTTGAGCTAAGCGGGTATAAATAGGCAACTCCCCCTCATAAAATGGAAGTTAGACATTCACACATCCACAAAGAAATAGCAAAGATACATTACTAAAAAGATATATTGTAATCCATGGATGTAGAATTGTTTTAAACATTGAAACTACTATAAAAAAACTTTGTCAACCCTACATTGTATTGGCAATTCTTACTATTACTCATAGTACGCCACAAGTGGGTGGTTAAGATATGCAATGTTTAGCCCATGTAGTTTTACATAGGTCTTTTACATTCCTTTTTCTAAACTGTACTATGCAATTTTACTTTGTCGTCTAGATGGAGATTATTTTTATTTAATTAGTTTCCATTGATTAGAGGTGCATGACAACAACCTTTTCATAATATATGCAAAATCTTGAAATTTAGTAAGTAAGCCTCTTAACATTCTACCATCAAATTACCCAGAATATTCTAGCGTCAAATTCTGTTGCCGCACCATGCGTGATCTTTTTACCTTCTAATTACACGGTGGCCAAGTATTTCTGCTGAAGGAGTGAACAACTGTGATAAGGTTTTAGACAGTTTGTCCTTCCCAGTAATTTTTCTAACACAATATTTTAAAGTTTTTGCAATCTTAGTATTTGTATCATATTGTTGCATGTTCTTTTTTCTTCTTGCTTTTCCCTCTTTATTTCTCATGCCTGTTTGTGGCGCTAATGCCATGGTGGCAATATTAGTATGTTATTTATGTTTCACTAAGCTGTATGAATTTCTTTAAGTTGCAGAAAATCTTATTGAGGATCTTCCTGCATCAGTTTGTAATCTCATTCACTTAAAGTCCCTTTCCTTAAACAATAATAACGTGAGCCAGGTAGTTAACATGTAATTTCAGTCTTAATTGCTTTCTGACATCTACATTTAAGATAGTTTATCCTTTATCTAATCATTTTCTATGCGGAAATTTAAGACAGTAGATCCATTATCTAATCATTTTTTTATTTGTACATTTAAGATATTAGATCCGTCATCAAATCATTCTTGAGTTATTGAGTTGGAAGTATGTTAGCTTAATAGGATTCTTTTTCTTTTCTTTCCCCTAAATTGTTGATTTACAATTTTGCATGATAATTAAAGCCTCAATTGAAAAATGCCCGTGGAAGAAGAACATCTTATTATTATTGTCTGTTGTGGGCTGCTCTGACTGCCAACATTTTGCCACTGGAATCAATATTTCAAGATTTTAGATCTCTTTATTCTGATTTTATGTCGTATTAATACTTTCTTGATTTGCAGATACCTAATAATCTGTTGAAGGATTGCAAAGCGTTGCAGAATATATCCCTGCACGATAATCCAATTTCAATGGATCAATTTCAGCAGGTAGGTCATATTGGCTTGACTTGCTTTTCAAGTTTTTCGGCAGAAACAGAGAGTTTAGTATGTAAACACTGAACTTTATAAAATATGAAATTTAGATGGAGGGATTCCAAGAGTTTGAGGCGAGGAGAAAGAAGAAGTTCGACAAGCAAATCGATTCTAACGTAATGATCAGTTCTAAAGGCCTCGACGAGGGGGTTGATTTATAAGGTCATGGCAGATGTAAATTGTGATTAATCTTTTTGCAGCTTGGGACAGATAGCAATAGCAATAGCAAAGTATTGGTATTTATATTTTATGGTATTTATAATTATTTATGCACCAAACACATTTGAAACAATGTAAATGATATAGATCTTTGGGTTTCCCTGCAGATATCTCAGTAACAGTTATGATTGAAACTTTGTATATCAAAATCAATTTCATATTAATGAGATTATATGTTGTTACGACTTAAATTAGTAGAACACTTGTGACTACAGAGGAAGTAGTTATACTACATTTTTATTGTTAAATGTAACTCATAATCCAATTTTACAAACCTTCTACCACAATCCCAATATGATAGTTCCTAATTTGACAAACAAAACATATTTGTGAGTTGACTAATTGCGAGTTGTCATATTAGGGTTCTTTTTTTTCTTATCCTTTATTAACCTGTTCTTTTTTTAGTGTTTACAAGTCTCACCAGTTCTCTTCATAGACTTTACGAGCTCCATTCATTTTTTGTAGTTGAGCTCTATTTTGAATGATTAAAGATAGATTGACAAACACTTTTCACTTTTTCTACAAACGCGATATGGTAGTTTGCATTTGATCAGGCAAGACTTATTTGCAAGTTAACCAATTACGAGTTGACACGTCGTGTTTGTAAAAGAAAATTAGTGTGAAGTGTTTATCAGAATAATATTATTCATTTTAAATTATTCTCACTATTGAAATTCTAAAACCGACGCCCATTTGATATAAAATTTAACACTATTTTTTTTTTTAAATAAGGTATATAACAAATCTTATAAAAATGAGTTTAATATTAAGGGTCAAATTGTTTTTAGAAATAGTTTTCTAATAAAATTAAAAATTAGTGTAAAATTAGAAAACTAATGAAAGTCATTTTCTAAATTCTTAAATATTATATCAAACATATTTTCAAATATTACAATTCAAAAATTCAAATCATATTTTAGTTTTTGAAAATTACTTTTTAAATCACAAATCAAATAGGCCAGCAAGAAATTGAATTTTCAACATAATAATTGAATAAGAAAGAAAAAATTATTTAAAAAAATGCAGAAAAAGATCATTTTAATTTTAAATTTATATTAAAAATGATGATAAAAAGTACTTTCCAGTAAGCAAATTACATTCCTCTCCTCTAGTCTCCACCAATAAAATCACGTTTGCAATTAAAATAAAAAAATTGGCATAAAAATTTTGAAAATTTAGAGCCAAAATTTAATAAAACGCCAATTTCCCTCCATGAGAGGCCACGTGTCGCTCACACTCGCGTAATCCAATCATAATCACCAACACCAAATACCCATAAATAGAACATGCTTATACCCTTCTCTCAGAATCTCCCCCTCCACCTCTTCTTATCTTATCTATCCTCGTCATTTCTGAGGGCACTCTCTGTAATTATACTAAATTCTTCTGTCCTTTCTAGTCATTTCACCCCTTTTCTACTACGATTTCCTCAGAGAACCTAACCCTAGTCGTGCCCTTTTTCGTCAATAACTTTTTCCTTCCCGATCTCGGTCTTTCCTCCCTTAATTCGATCTGTTTTCTTCTTCTATTCTTCGAATCGATCTCCGATTTGATTTTTCCTTCTTACATCTGTCGATTGATCCCGGTATCGGCTCCGGCCGTGGCTCGAATCAATTTCTAGGGTTAGGGTTTCGATAATTTCCAGATCTGTGAAATCCTCTGGTAAATTAAGCAGTTTTTCTCATGGGTTTTGTTTTTCTTCTCACGCTCGTTCGTTTTATGTAAATAATTTTGATTTCTCTCGGTTTCTAGGTTTTGATTTCTTGACGGACTTTTCGATGCATAGATCTGTTAGTTTCGGGTGCTCTTATGTAAAAATTATTCTATTTCTGTTCGTGGGTCAGATCAAATTGTGTGAATTTCGTAGATAATCGGAAGATCTGGGGTCAGGGTTTCAATAAATTTGGGGCTTTTCTAATTAGTTGTCAATTGAGCTCAGGGGAAGCCTAATTTATCCATTAATTACGTTTCGGCCTGCACCTGTTGTCGATTTGAGCTACAAGTTTCGATTTTAGGGATCTGTTGTAGTGTTTGGACATTGAAGACATTATAATTTAAGGTAAAAAAGTCAATACTTGTTTTCTCAATTATGATGTCATATTCGATCATATTATATTATATTTTTAATTAATCATAAAAGAGTACATTTTATTTTTACGTTTTTACAAAACTGCCCCTATGCCCAATGTGAGTAGGACTTGGTCCCACCCATCTGTAGTTATCAACCGTAACGACAATGGCAATAAAATTTGTTGTAAGAATTGATAAATGATACTTGAGATATTGACATAACGTTTATTTTTGCTTCAATGCATGCATTTAAGCTGACAAAATGGAATCTCTTTCATGGCCGCACAATTGGCTAGAACTAGATACTAATAAAGATACTTGTTTCAACATGTGTGTTAGTACTTTCAAGCTTGCTTCTTCTTTTTTTTTTTTTTTTTTTTTTGTTGAACTTTAACAATCAATTAGAATCATATGGTCTATTAGTTTTATAAAACTTTAATTGAATTTCATCTTTATGGCAGACAAACATGGTACAAAAGCGGCCTTTTGAAGATGAGGAAACATTGGGGGTTTCTTCCAAGCATCCAAAGCAAGTGGAACATGGTGAGCGACCATTTTCATCCTTGGAATATGTTTTTTCTGAAGTTTGTAGGAGAGAACTCACTTTAGGTGAGGAAGGTTGGTCTCCACAAGTACGTTTAATGCTAAATTTGGGGTTTTAGTCATGTCTTACGCTTTTATAATCAGGCATCTCAGCATTGTGAATGAGGGTACCATTTCAGCTGATGTACTTGTGTACCCTATTTTTAATCTTCCTAATTGGCTTTGAACTCCGTGCAAGTTGCAAGTATATTCTAAAGCAAATGTTCGTATTGTAGGAGCATTTGGATAGGAGTAATTAGTCACCATGCATGATTGAATTACACATTAGCCTGTTTTACTATTAGCACAAGTCTCTGTTTGTTTTATGTTTTATGTACTGATGTTTTATTTATCTCCCAACTCCAATTCTTGTTCCTGGACATAAATTTAGGAGCTACACTTAATAAAATGGCATTGAATTATTTCCCTATACGTATCCTTAATTTTACCTTGTTAGATGAATGTGCGAAATGGGTTCTGAGGAGTGTTGTATGGTGTAATTTGAAAGCTTTTTATTTTTTATTTTTAATATGAAAACATGATGTTTTATGATGGAACACCCCCTGATCATTGTATCCACCATTGTAGTGTTTCACTATCAGTCTTACTGAGTTGTAATGTGTTATGTAAAAGGTGAGGGTGGATATATTCAAAATAATACTCAAGCTGATGAAAAGCTAGCAAGTGATGACATAACTGAACGTCAAGCAAGTGCTGAGGATGTTGAAAGCAGTGGTCCTGGCTGCACCTCCATCTCTTCAGGGCCAACCAGTGGTACCAGCGAAGAGGATTCCCACCCAGGGACACTAGTTTTTGTACCGGTATGCTCAGAATATTTTAATCCTGAACGTGCACTCTTGACAGGGGATCATCCTAGGGATCTCTATTCCTTTCTCATGAATCATCCTCCACGAAAATCTGTTCCTATTGGACAAAATCATCAAGCTGATATTCCAGCATGGGGCTCACAGTATGCTGAGGTTGAAGATGAAAGAGTACGGATGGGAACTTGTATCATTCCGATGACTGATTCATCACCTCCTGATTTTTATGGCCGAGCTGGAATTGGTAGAAGTGACTGTCATTGTGAGGATTTGGGCTCTATCAGATGTGTCAAGCAGCACATCATAGAAGCAAGGCAGGAACTAGAAATATACCTTGGGAAAGAAAAATTGGTAGAGCTTGGGTTCCATGACATGGGTGAGGTAGTGGCTAATAATTGGAGCAATGGGGAGGAACAAATGTTTCACAAGATTGTCTATTCTAATCCAGCTTCATTGGGTAGGAATTTCTGGAGCATTCTTTCTGCTGTCTTCCCTTCCAGAAGAAAAAGTGAAATTGTCAGTTACTACTTTAATGTCTTTATGCTTCAAAAGCGGGCTGAGCAGAACAGATGTTACCCGTTGAATATCAGTAGTGATAATGATGAGTGGCAGGGTAGTGATGATTATGGTGGCAATGAAACTGGGATGTCAGCTGATGATGATGATGATGACTCTGTTATTGAGTCACCTGCATACCATCCTGATATGCGTTATCAGAGCCATGAAGATGACTTGCGTATTTATGAAGAGGATGCTGAAGTTTACTACATAACACGTAACAATGATGAGAATACAGATTCTGTTTGTGATGGCATTACCAATAATTCAGAAGCATATCCTGGAAAGTTATCAAATGCTTGTGATTCCACACCCTCATCTAAGGTCCAAAATAATATTCCAGGGGATGAAAAGGGAGATCGAGAAGTCCAAGATGACTCATGCACATCTTCTGATACTGCAGCAGCCGCACAGGGACCCCGGGTTAAGTCGGACAAGGATGGCTACTGGCCTGGTAGCTTTAATGAGATGAGCAACGGTGGTGGCCATGAATATGTCTTGGAGTCTTGTGATGCTAAAGTTTGGGACGGTGGTTATACAAGTTGCCATCAAAATAAAGTTGATTTATTACCAACTTGCAGTATGATTGAGGAGGTTTTTGGAGATGGGTCATGGAATTTCAAGGTGAGAGATGGGAAAGCTTGAGTCATTTTCTTGCATTGAGATGTGGAATGTTAGGTACTCAGTGGTGAATAATTAGGAAGAATTTTCTTGTAGGAAGAAGTATAGAGAGAGTCCAATTTTCTTATGAATGAGAAGAAAGAATTCAATTTTCCTTTTGTACAAATCATATGAATGATGGAAGCCCTGCCCTTCACTGTAAAATAGTTATTAAGAAGGTGATTGGTTTTCATGTTTTTTGAGCTCTGTTCCGAATAATTGTTTATTTGACAATACAAATTACATTGGGACTAACCTTTCACAAGCCCAGATGGAGTTTCTTTAAAGGGGAGGGGGAAAAGATTGTTATAAGACGATACTGATGACAACATTGTTCCTATAATGTATTTTTAAAATTATTTAATTGCAAGAAAATTTCGAAATGAAATAGATTCAAGTTTCATTTTATTACAATGTTTTGAAACTTGACCTGGGGTGCCACCCGGCCAAAGGGGTTGGGTCATGGGTTGACCGGTCCAACTGTTTAAACCGGTGGTCTTTTGTGATCCAAAAAGTTTGAATTTTGTAAAAACACTCCTGAAAATATATCAGTCCCTGCAGGTTTTGAAATATTGCAAACACACCCTTACAACAGTTAAGGTTTTGATTTTTTTGGCCACATTTTGGCTGATTCCGATGGCCAAAATTCAATCCAACACCACCAATTGATTCACCGCCCTCCACTCTACAAAACCCTTCTATCTTCAACACTTGGTAGCTCCTCGTTTGCCAGTCGTGACTCACGTATTGGGTTGATTTTTTTGATCAAATTTCGGTTGATTCCAATGTCCAAAATTCAATCTGACACCACCTCTTGAACCACTGGCCTTGACTCTACAAAATCCCTCTAACTTTGGCACTTGATAGCCCCTCGTTCGACAGTGATCAAATTAGGGATTTGGTGAACAGTTGAAATAGTAAACCGAACCGAAGAGGGCACCAAGCACCGGTTTGACCGGCTAGTCTGATCCGGTTATTAGAACATTGTTTGATTACATTTATTTTTCATATTCCATTATGTGATTTCGAAATCAAAAATTTACATAATGATTCTCCATCAAGAGTTAACCCAAACTTTTTTGTTCACTCATCATTTTCTGGTACATTAGCGTTTTTCCTCATGGTTTTGTTTTTCTTCTCACGCTCGTTCGTTTTATGTAAATAATTTTGATTTCTCTCGGTTTCTAGGTTTTGATTTCTTGACGGACTTTCGATGCATAGATCTGTTAGTTTCGGTGCTCTATGTAAAAATTATTCTATTTCTGTTCGTGGTCAGATCAAATTGTGTGAATTTCGTAGATAATCGGAAGATCTGGGGTCAGGTTTCTAAAAATTGGGGCTTTTCTAATTGTTTCAATTGAGCTCAGGGGAAGCCTAATTTATCCATTAATTACGTTTCGGCCTGCACCTGTTGTCGATTTGAGCTACAAGTTTCGAATTAGGGATCTGTTGTAGTGTTTGAACATTGAAGCATTATAATTTAAGGTAAAAAAATCATTACTTGTCTTCTCAATTATGTCATATTCGATCATATTATATTATATTTTTAATTAATCATAAAAGAGTACATTTTATTTTTACGTTTTTACAAAACTGCCCCTATGCCCAATGTGAGTTGGACGTGGCCCCCCATCTGTAGTTATCAACCGCAACGACAATGGCAATAAAATTTTGTAAGAATTGATAAATGATACTTGAGATATTGACATAACGTTTATTTTTGCTTCAATGCATGCATTTAGCTGACAAAATGGAATCTCTTTCATGGCCGCACAATTGCTAGAACTAGATACTAAATAAGATACTTGTTTCAACAGTGTGTTAGTACTTTCAAGCTTGCTCTTCTTCCTTTTTTTTTTTTTTTTTTTTTTTTTTTTTTTGAACTTTAACAATCAATTAATCATATGGTCTATTAGTGTATAAATTGTATAAAATTTTAATTGAATTTCATCTTTATGGCAGACAAACATGGTACAAAAGAGGCCTTTGAAGATGAGGAACATTGGGGGTTTCTTCCAAGCATCCAAAGCAAGTACATGGTGAGCGACTATTTTCATCCTTGGATATGTTTTTTCTGAAGTTTGTAGGAGACAACTCACTTTAGGTGAGGGAGGTTGTCTCCACAGTACGTTTAATGCTAAATTTGGGTTTTAGTCATGTCTTACGCTTTTATAATCAGGCATCTCAGCATGTGAATGAGGGTACCTTCACTCTGATGACTTGTGTACCCTATTTTTAATCTTCCTAATTGGCTTTGAACTCCGTGCAAGTTGCAAGGATATTCTAAAGCAATGTCGTATGTGAGGAGCATTTGGATAGGAGTAATAGTCACCATGCATGATTGAATTACACATTACCTGTTTTACCATTAGCACAGTCTCTGTTTGTTTTATGTTTTATGTACTGATGTTTTATTTATCTCCCAACTCCAATTCTTGTTCCTGGACATAAATTTAGGAGCTACACATAAAATGGCATTGAATTATTTCGCTATACGTATCCTTAATTTACCTTGTTAGATGAATGTGCGAAATGGGTTCTGAGGAGTGTTGTATGGTGTAATTTGAAAGCTTTTATTTTTTATTAATATATGAAACATGATTTTATGATGGAACACCTCCTGATCATTGTATCCACCATTGTAGTGTTTCACTATCAGTCTTCCTGAGTTGTAATGTGTTATGTAAAAGGTGGGTTTTTGCAGCTTGGGACAGATACAGATACAGATAGCAGTAGCAATAGCATTTTGGTATTTATATTTTATGGTATTTATTTACGCACCAAACACATTTGAAACAATGTAAATGATATAGATCTTTGGGTTTCCCTGCAGATATCTCAGTAAAATTGAACATGTAACATTTATGATTGAAACTTTGTATATCAAAATCAATTTCATATTAATGAGATTATATGTTATTACGACTTAAATTAGTAAAACACGAAGTAGTTATACTACATTTTTATTGTTAAACCTAATAATAAATATTGACTCATAATCCAATTTTACAAGCTTTCTATCACAATCCTGATGTGATGTGATGTGATAGTTCCCAATTTGGCAAACAAGACTTATTTGTGAGTTGATTAATTACGAGTTGTCACGTTGGAGTTTGTGAGATTGAATTGTAAGTGTAGTATTGTCCTATACCTAAAGAACTTGCCAGTTTACTCTAATCCAATAAGATTGGATCATAGCATAAAAAAAAAAAAAAGAACGTTATGATTACGAGGTAGTTACCTTTTTTTCTTACCCTTCATTAACCAGTTCTCTTCTTAGTCCTTACAAGTCTGACCAATTCACTTTTCGTAGACTTTACGAGCTTTATTCACTTGTCGTAGTTGAGCTCTATTTTCAATGAATAAAGATAGACTGACAAACACTTTTCATTTTTTCTCACAAACGCAACATGATAGCTTGCATTTGGTCGGCGAGACTCATTTGCGAGTTAACTAATTGTGAGTTGACACGTCATGTTTGTGAAAGAAAGTTAATGAGAAGTGTTTATCAGCGTAATATTATTCATTTTTAATTATTCTCACTATTGAAATTCCAAGACCAACTCCCATTTGATATAAAATTTAAACACTATTTTATTTTAAACAAAATATATAACAAATCTTATAAAGATGCTTTTAATATTAAGAGTTGAATTGTTTTTAGAAATAGTTTTCGAATAAAATTAAAATTAGTGTAAAATTAGAAAACGAATGAAAGTCATTTTCTAAATTCTTAAATATTATATCAAGCATATTTTCAAATATTACAATTCAAAAATTCAAATCATATTTTAGTTTTTGAAAATTACTTTTCAAATCACAAATCAAATAGGCCAATAAGAAATTGAAATTTCAACATAATAATTGAATAAGAAAGAAAAAATTATTAAAAAAATGCTGAAAAAGATCATTTTAATTTTAAATTTATATTAAAAATGATGATAAAAAGTACTTTTCAGTAAGCAAATTACATTCCTCTCCTCTAGTCTCCACCAATAAAATCACGTTTGCAATTAAAATAAAAAAATTGGCATAAAAATTTTGAAAATTTAGAGCCAAAATTTAATAAAACGCTAATTTCCCTCCATGAGATGCCACGTGTCGCTCACCCTCGCGTAATCCAATCATAATCACCAACACCAAATACCCATAAATAGAACATGCTTATACCCTCCTCTCAGAATCTCCCCCTCCACCTCTTCTTATCTTATCCATCCTCGTCATTTCTGAGGGCACTCTCTGTAATTATACCAAATTCATCTGTCCTTTCTAGTCATTTCACCCCTTTTCTACTACAATTTCGTTCTCAGAAAACCTAACCCTAGTCGTGCCCTTTTTCGTCAATAACTTTTCCCTTCCCGATCTCCGTCTTTCCTCCCTTAATTCGATCGGTTTTCTTCTTCCATTCTTCGAATCGATCTCCGATTTGATTTTTCCTTCTTACATCTGTCGATTGATTATGGGCTCTGGCCGTGGCTCGAATCAATTTCTAGGGTTAGGGTTTCGATAATTTCCAGATCTGTGAAATCCTCTTGTAGATTAAGCATTTTTTCTCATGGGTTTTGTTTTTCTCTCACGCTCGTTCGTTTTATGTAAATATTTGATTTCTCTCGGTTTCTAGGTTTTGATTTTGACGGACTTTTCGATGCATAGATCTGTTAGTTTCGGGTGCTCTTATGTAAAAATTATTCTATTTCTGTTCGTGGGTCAGATCAAATTGTGTGAATTTCGTAGATAATCGGAAGATCTGGGGTCAGGGTTTCAATAATTTGGGGCTTTTCTAATTAGTTGTCAATTGAGCTCAGGGGAAGCCTAATTTATCCATTAATTACGTTTCGGCCTGCACCTGTTGTCGATTGAGCTACAAGTTTCGAATTAGGGATCGTTGTAGTGTTTGAACATTGAAGACATTATAATTAAGGTAAAAAAAATCATTACTTGTCTCTCAATTATGATGTCATATTCGATCTATTATATTATATTTTTAATTAATCATAAAAGAGTACATTTTATTTTTACGTTTTTACAAAACTGCCCTATGCCCAATGTGTAGTTGGACTGGCCCCACCATCTGTAGTATCAACCGCAACGACAATGGCAATAAAATTTATTGTAAGAATTGATAAATGATACTTGAGATATTGACATAACGTTTATTTTGCTTCAATGCATGCATTTAAGCTGACAAAATGGAATCTCTTTCATGGCCGCACAATTGCTAGAACTAGATACTAATAAGATACTTGTTTCAACAAGTGTGTTAGTACTTTCAAGCTTGCTTCTTCTTCCTTTTTTTTTTTTTTTTTTTTTTTTTTTTTTTTTTTTGAACTTTAACAATCAATTAGAATCATATGGTCTATTAGTTGTATAAAATGTATAATTTTAATTGAATTTCATCTTTATGGCAGACAAACATGGTACAAAAGAGCCTTTGAAGATGAGGAAACATTGGGGGTTTCTTCCAAGCATCCAAAGCAAGTGGAACATGGTGAGCGACTATTTTCATCCTTGGAATATTTTTTTCTGAAGTTTGTAGGAGACAACTCACTTTAGGTGAGGGGGTGGTCTCCACAAGTACGTTTAATGCAAATTTGGGTTTTAGTCATGTCTTACGCTTTTATATCAGGCATCTCAGCATTGTGATGAGGGTACCATTTCAGCGATGTACTTGTGTACCCTATTTTTAATCTTCCAATTGCTTTGAACTCCGTGCAAGTTGCAAGGATATTCTAAAGCAGATGCGCGTATTGTAGGAGCATTTGGATAGGAGTAATTAGTCACCATGCATGATTGAATTACACATTAGCCTGTTTTACCATTAGCACAAGTCTCTGTTTGTTTTATGTTTTATGTACTGATGTTTTATTTATCTCCCAACTCCAATTCTTGTTCCTGGCATAAATTTGAGCTACACTTAATAAAATGGCATGAATTATTTCGCTATACGTATCCTTAATTTTACCTTGTTAGATGAATGTGCGAAATGGGTTCTGAGGAGTGTGTATGGTGTATTTGAAAGCTTTATTTTTTATTTTTAATATGAAAACTGATGTTTTATGATGGAACACCTCCTGATCATTGTATCCACCATTGTAGTGTTTCACTATCAGTCTTACTGAGTTGTAATGTGTTATGTAAAAGGTGAGGGTGGATTATTCAAATAATACTCAAGCTGATGAAAAGCTAGCAAGTGATACTAACTGAACGTCAAGCAAGTGCTGAGGATGTTGAAAGCAGTGGTCCTGGCTGCACCTCCATCTCTTCGGGCCAACCAGTGGTACCAGCGAAGAGGATTCCCACCCAGGGCACTAGTTTTTGTACCGGTTCTCGAATATTTTAATCCTGAACGTGCACTTTTGACAGGGGATCATCCTAGGATGTCTATTCCTTTCTCATGAATCATCCTCCACGAAAATCTGTTCCTATTGGACAAAATCATCAAGCTGAATTCCAGCATGGGGCTCACAGTATGCTGAGGTTGAAGATGAAACAGTACGGATGGGAACTTGTATCATTCCGATACTGATTCATCACCTCCTATTTTTATGGCCGAGCTGGAATTGGTAGAAGTGACTGTCATTGTGAGGATTTGGGCTCTATCAGATGTGTCAAGCAGCACATCATAGAAGCAAGGCAGGAACTAGAAATATACCTTGGGAAAGAAAAATTGGTAGAGCTTGGGTTCCATGACATGGGTGAGGTAGTGGCTAATAACTGGAGCAATGGGGAGGAACAAATGTTTCACAAGATTGTCTATTCTAATCCAGCTTCATTGGGTAGGAATTTCTGGAGCATTCTTTCTGCTGTCTTCCCTTCCAGAAGAAAAAGTGAAATTGTCAGTTTCTACTTTAATGTCTTTATGCTTCAAAAGCGGGCTGAGCAGAACAGATGTTACCCGTTGATATCAGTAGTGATAATGATGAGTGGCAGGGTATGATGATTATGGTGGCAATGAAACTGGGATGTCAGCTGATGATGATGATGATGACTCTGTATTGAGTCACCCGCACCATCCTGATATGCGTTATCAGAGCCATGAAGATGACTTGCGTATTTATGAAAGGATGCTGAAGTTTACTATATTACACGTAAAGTGATGAGAATACAGATTCTGTTTGTGATGGCATTACCAAAATTCAGAAGCTATCCTGGAAAGTTATCAAATGCTTGTGATTCCACACCCCATCTAAGTTCCAAATTAATATTCCAGGGGTGAAAAGGGAGATCGAGAAGTCCAAGATGACTCATGCACATCTTCTGATACTGCAGCAGCCGCACAGGACCCCGGGTTAAGTCGGACAAGGATGGCTACTGGCCTGGTAGCTTTATGAGATGAGCAACGTGGGTGGCCATGAATATGTCTTGGAGTCTTGTGATGCTAAGTTTGGGATGTTATACAAGTTGCCATCAAAATAAGTTGATTTATTACCCACTTGCAGTATGATTGAGGAGGTTTTTGGAGATGGGTCATGGAATTTCAAGGTGAGAGATGGGAAGCTTGAGTGATTTTTTGCATTGAGATGTGGAATGTTAGGTACTCAGTGGTGAATAATTAGGAAGAATTTTCTTGTAGGAAGAAGTATAGAGAGAGTCCAATTTTCTTATGAATGAGAAGAAAGAGTTCAATTTTCCTTTTGTACAAAATCTATGATGAGAAGCCCTCCCTTCACTGTAAAATAGTTATTAAGAAGTGATGGTTTTCATGTTTTTTGAGCTCTGTTCCGAATAATTGTTTATTTGACAATACAAATTACATTGGACTAACCTTTCACAAGCCCAGATGGAGTTTCTTTAAAGGGGAGGGGAAAAGATTGTTATAAGACGATACTGATGCAAACATTGTTCCTATAATGTATTTTTAAAATTATTTAATTGCAATAAATTTCGAAATGAAATAGATTCAGGTTTCATTTTATTACAATGTTTTGAAACTTGACCTGGGTGCCACCCGGCCAAAGGGGTTGGGTCTTGGGTTGACCGGTCCAACTGTTTAAACCGGTGGTCTTTTGTGATCCAAAAAGTTTGAATTTTGTAAAAACACTCCGAAATATATCAGTCCCTGCAGGTTTGAAATATTGCAAACACCCTTACAACAGTTAAGGTTTTGATTTTTTTGGCCACATTTTGGCTGATTCCGATGGCCAAAATTCAATCCAACACACCATTGATTCACCGCCTCCACTCTACAAAACCCTTCTATCTTCAACACTTGGTAGCTCCTCGTTTGCCAGTCGTGACTCACGTATTGGGTTGATTTTTTGATCAAATTTCGGTTGATTCCAATGTCCAAAATTCAATCTGACCACCCCTCTTGAACCACTGGCCTTGACTCTACAAAATCCCTCTAACTTTGGCACTTGATAGCCCCTCGTTCGACAGTGATCAAATAGGGATTTGGTGAACAGTTGAAATAGTAAACCGAACCGAAGAGGCACCAAGCACCGGTTTGACCGGCTAGTCTGATCCGGTTATTAGAACATTGTTTGATTACATTTATTTTTCATATTCCATTATGTGATTTCGAAATCAAAAATTTACATAATGATTCTCCATCAAGAGTTAACCCAAACTTTTTGTTCACTCATCATTTTGGATGAAGAGGCCTAAAGTGTTGAATCGAGAATTACAGACATTGCGAGAGAGGTGGAGAAGAAACCATTAGTCTGGAATTTCTACATTAATCCAAGTTGTTTCTCCTATCACAACAGTCTCTGAAACACTTAAGAATCAATGCTAGATGTTAGGAAGCTATTTAGAAGTTGCAAAAAGCAAGGTTTTGAATCCTTCACCTGCAATGCAACGAAGGATTGTACCATTCGGCATAATAATAATGTTAATCAATAATCATATTGTGCGGATGCCTTATGGCCATGTTTATCATCAATATTGTATTGTCGAGTGGTTGGAGATAAGTCTTGTTGGCGGTTTTTCTTACCATTGATCATGGATGTTGTGATGCCTAAAATAAGGACGGAGATATGCTGATATCATCAAGCACTAATCAGAATCCAAGAAAATATTCTACCATCCAGAACATAATACGTCCCAGGCAAAAAGAATATACCGTTACAAACCCACCGACTCAAGAATTTGTGCCTGGTGAATTTGGTCTCACACTTGTTCAAACCTCATTTAATTTAAGGATATGCTTTGAGTTCTCAACGAATGTGAAGGCATGAGAGATCTACACGATACCAGGCTACTTGCAAAATGATCATCTTTGAGCTAAGCGGGTATAAATAGGCAACTCCCCCTCTAAAATGGAAGTTAGCCATTCACACATCCAACAAAAATAGCAAAGATACATTACAAAAAGATATACTTGTAATCCCAATGGATGTAGAATTTGTTTAAACATCTGAACTACTATAAAAAAACATCTTGTCAACCCTACATTTACGTATTTGCATTCTACTATACTCATAGTACCTCATACTCACATAATCAGTAGTATTTTGCACGTACAAAGTTGTTGTTGTTATCAAAATCAAGTATCAAGAGATGTAATTACCATGATTGTATCCTCATTGTCTAATTTCTTTTTTTTTTTTTTTTTTTTTGAGTTTTAGGTTTTAGATAATTTGACGGTTATTCTTGTGTAAGAACATAGATTAATGGTTGATGAAAATAAATGGATATTATCAATCAAGTTATAAAGTTTTCAGACTTTTTAAATGAGTGGACAAAGTTACAAATTGTTTAATTAAGGAACATCTTACTATATTTGTCCTTTAAGGGAAATTACAAAATGATTTAATGTCCTTGATTTTTTATTTATTTTTTATTTTTTTGAAGTTAATTTAGTTCTTTAAATTTAGATTAAAAAATGTTAAAATACTAAAAATAGATTAGAACCTATTTTTTTTAAATGAAATATTAAAAAAAAAACTGACAAACTAAACTAAAAGAAAAAGTAGATGAAAATTAAAAAAAAAATTAATGAAAATAATATTCTTTTTTCAGTTTAGTTTTTAAATTGGTTTAATTTTATTGTTTTTAATTTTAATTTTATAATTTTTTTAGTTCTTTTTAATTTTAAGTGTTTTTAATTTTTAATTTTGATTTTTATTTTGCAAAAAGAATAATTTGAATTTGTTTAATTCATCTTTACCTTTATAGAAGTTAAATCTAACACGGATGCTGCTCTATGGCCCACCCTCAAATTTTAAAAAAAAATATTAATATGTATAATTTTTGGATTTTGACCATTTTAACAGAAATTTTTGGTTCCGTCCATGCTTCTGGCCTATCGTAAAAAATTTATCCCAATTAACAATATCCCAGAAAATTAAGTTCCTAATGATGGTTATTAATTATTTCTTGTAATTAATTCTTTGTTTCCATACATTATTAGCTTCATTTCAATAATATATCAATGGCGGCTACGTAATTAATTCATATCCTTGGAGAAATTCCATTGATACAATGATTGTAATACTTAAAGTGGAACTGGAATTTTGAAGGATAAGATTGATTACATTCAATTCCATTCATGGAAAACAGAGGCCAGGCCTAGATAGAAGTAATATAGTGACTAGGGTTATCAAATATATAAATTTTTTATTTTTTTCTCACACAATTCAATATATATGGGCTTGTTTGATAGATTGTTTGAAAAATATTATTTCGAAAAAGTGTTTTAAGTTGAGTTGAGTTGGATTAAATCGAATTGGATCAAATTTTGAAAATGTGTTTGGTAAAATATCTGAAAAAACATATCAGAGTTTGATAAAATGCCGAATAGTTGGTTGGTACCACTTTTTAAAAGACTGAATAGTTATTTGGTACATTTTTTTAAAAAGGTTTTTAAGACAGGATAATTGTTTGGTACATTTTCTGAAAATATCTAGATTGTTTTTTAATCCATTATATTTGTTAATTTAGTTAAACACTCCACAATAAAAGTTTAAAAATTAACTAAAGCACTTCAGTCACCCAAGAAAACAGCAGGTCACCACCATCGTACATCAGTCGATAGTCGCTAGAACGACGCACGACCGACTGGATCTAGCCGGTCGTGCGCCAATATGGTCGTTTGCAACCAGATCTATTGTGGATCTGACCAGAAACGACCATATCTACGACCAAAATCTAGGCCATCGTCAACGGCCAGATCGACACACGACCGACTGTGGTTGCTAGTAGGCAATGATAGTCTTAAGTAGATTAATTTTTAGATTGGAATGAGAAAAAGGTAAATGTTTTTAGCTTAATAGAGTTGGATAATCTGAAAACAAGTCCCAACCTCTTTTCATTTTTAAACAAAAAATCTTTTTTTTTTTTTTTTTGAGTTGGATTAATTTTCAGAATGGATTGATTCAATAAGTAAACAAACACATATCATATTTTTTAATACTAATATGATAAGAACCTAATTGTTGTGGAACTAAAGCTTGCCTGCGTCAATGGAAAAACTCCTCCGATCCAACAACTAATGAACTGCCCTTCCGGTNCTTGTTGATGGAGTATTTGAAAAATATTATTTTGAAAAAGTGTTTTAAGTTGAGTTGAGTTGATTAAATCGAATTGGATTGAAAATGTGTTTGGTAAAATATCTGAAAAAGCATATCAGAGTTTGATAAAATACCGAATGGTTGTTTGGTACCATTTTTTTAAAAAACAGAACAGTTGTTTGCTACATATTTTTAAAAATGTTTTTAAGACAGAATAGTTGTTTGGTACATTTTCTAAAAATATCTAGATTGTTTTTATAATCCACTGCATTTGTTAATTTAGCTAAATACTCTACAATAAAAGTTTAAAAATTAACTAAAGCACTTCAGTCACCCAAGAAAACAATTGGCCACCACCGCTATACAGTAGTTGGTAATTGTTGGAACAGCACACGACTGACTGGATCTAGCTGTTCGTGCACCAATATGGTCGTTTTCGACCAGATCCACTGTAGATCTGGCTAGAAACAACCATATCTACGACCAAAATCTAAGCCATCGTCAATGGCCAGATCGGCACACGACCGACAGTGGTTGCTAGTAGGCAAAGGTGGTCTTAGGTGGATTAATTTTTAGATTGGAATGAATTGGCCCAATAAGTAAATAAACACATATCCTATTTTTTTAATACTAATATGATAAGAGAATAATGATAGAGAATAGTGTAACAAAAGATATCTAGAGTAATTAATAATTTAATATAAACGATATTGTTGGATACAAGGTCCGATCAAACAACCCAAAGAAATGGTTGGCCTAAGGATTCAAGACCAAACTGTTGCTGATTTAATGACAGAACCTAATTGTCGTAATTTGTTTGGAACTAAAACTTCCCTGCGTCAATAGAAAAACTCCTCCGATCCAACAACTAATGAACTGCCCTTCCAGTCTGAGAAGTCAACAGGCCGACCCACTTTTCCGATAAAGATTATCCTCCATATTTTCACATTATTCATGATGGATTGGTGGGAAATTATCTGCTCAAGCCGATGGGGTGGGCCATGCAAATAACAGATAAGAAGCCCAAACAAGACAAGGCAAAAGAATAATTTG